TGGGCTGCTGTATCGATATATCACCAAGAGTATTTTTACGTGTGTTTTACTAAATTATTTTGTTACAGCTACAGTTTTGTTGCTTGTGGAGTGAAAGGAAACTCATTTATTCAACACATTTGACATTTTCACAGTTTTGCTGATTAAAATGTTTGTGTTTCATATGAACTTTGCACAGGAAGTGGTTTAACAAAGACTTTTAGTATCACAGCCATGATTTAGCCTTTATTTTTTATTGCACCGTATCGAATCGATTTGAAATATATCATATCGAATCGAAAGTGCGCTGTATCGAGGTATGTATCGTATTGTGGCCTGTGTATCGAGGTATGTATCGTATCGTGGCCTGTGTATCGAGGTATGTATCGTATCGTGGCCTGTGTATCGAGGTATGTATCGTATCGTGGCCTGTGTATCGAGGTATGTATCGTATCGTGGCCTGTGTATCGAGGTATGTATCGTATCGTGGCTTGTGTATCGAGATATGTATCGTATCATGGCCTGTGTATCGAGATATGTATCGTATCGTGGCCTGTGTATCGAGGTATGTATCGTATCGTGGCTTGTGTATCGAGATATGTATCGTATCATGGCCTGTGTATCGAGAGGTATGTATCGTATCGAGATATGTATCGTATCGTGGCCTGTGTATCGAGGTATGTATCGTATCGTGGCCTGTGTATCGAGGTATGTATCGTATCGTGCCTGTGTATCGAGGTATGTATCGTATCGTGGCCTGTGTATCGAGGTATGTATCGTATCGTGGCCTGTGTATCGAGGTATGTATCGTATCGTGGCCTGTGTATCGAGGTATGTATCGTATCGTGGCCTGTGTATCGAGATATGTATCGTATCATGGCCTGTGTATCGAGGTATGTATCGTATCGTGGCTTATGTATCGAGGTATGTATCGTATCGTAGCTTATGTATCGAGATATGTATCGTATCATGATCTGTGTATCGAGGTATGTATCGTATCGTGATCTGTGTATCGAGGTATGTATCGTATTGTGGCCTATGTATCGAGATATGTATCGTATCGTGATCTGTGTATCGAGGTATGTATCGTATCGTGGCCTGTGTATCGAGGTATGTATCGTATCGTGGCCTATGTATCGTATCGTGGCCTGTGTATCGAGGTATGTATCGTATCGTGGCCTATGTATCGAGATATGTATCGTATCATGATCTGTGTATCGAGATATGTATCGTATCGTGGCCTATGTATCGAGATATGTATCATATCGTGATCTGTGTATCGAGATATGTATCGTATCGTGGCCTATGTATCGAGATATGTATCGTGACCTGTGTATCGAGATATGTATCGTATCGTGGCCTGTGTATCGTATCGTGGCCTGTGTATCGAGGTATGTATCGTATCGGCAACTTCTTAATGATACCCAGCCCTAATTAGGAATGTAACAATATCCAAATCTCTCGGTACGATATTTTCACGATTTACATCTTACGGTACGATATTTATTGTGATATTTTGTGGAGGTGAACAAAACTGTTAATATGCGACTTTTTCCTCTAAAAATGCCTTGACAAAAAACGACTCCGCACCACAATCCAGAGCGCCCCATACACGAATCCACTCGGGTGTCCCAGCACGACTTCAGTAAACTACAAAACCGCAAACACACACGGAGCAGACAGCGACCGCACAGAGAAACACACCCACAGACACACTCATCACTCCACGCCGACGAGGAACGGAACGGAGGAACGAACCGAAAAAGCGACGAGCGCGACGTGCCGCTTCTAGACACGACTGAACAACTGAGTCACTGTGAACACGCCGACAATCCGTTGGTCCCAGATACACCCTCCCTACACACCACAACTGAACAAACCCAGAGTCACCGTGAACGAACAAACAAACAAAACCACTCACCCATCACACTGTTGGGTGTTTCCTTTAAAGTCCCACGCGGTTTATTTGTGAAAAAAGTTCGAAAATAGACCATTTAATGACAGTGCGATTTATAATCCAGAATAGTGCGGAAAATACGGTAATCCTAAGAACTAAAACTTAAAAGTGTTAGAACTGTTATTTCTTCTTGTCGTCTGCACTGAAACCGAGCAAAGCATCATGGTCTATGTAGTTCTTCTGTCTTTTTTTAGCTGTTGCTGCACCAGAACTTTTAATTTAAGCAAAGACACTTGTAATTCGATATATTGTGACGGTCCATGATATCATTGTGAGAACTTTGACGATACGATATCACGATATTTCGTTTTTTGTTACATCCCTATTTATTTTACTAAATTGTTTTGTTACAGAGCTACAGTTTTGTTGTTCGTTCAGAGGACGGAAACTCATTTAAGCGTTTTGATGATTAAAATGTTTGTTTCATATGAACTTTGCACAAGAAGTGATTTAACAAACACTTTTTGTATCATGATTTAGACTTTATTTTTACTTTCTTTTAATCGATTTGAAATATATCGTATTGAATCAAAAGCTTGCTCTATCCAGATATGTATCAAAAAGTTTATTGTCAAATGTCCATATGAACATATGAAAAATTGTAATTATGTTCTCACTCTCAATCTTTTAAATTAAATAATAATAAAACTTTTAAAAAAATGTCCAAAGTTGTTCTTTAGGGAGATTCCTGTTTGCTGGTCGCCTGGTGGTTGGACAGAGTTCTTCTCCTCACATTCTGGTGATTGAAGCTGTTGGTGAGGGTTTTTTAAAAATATATATTAAATACTTAATACGTTTTCAGAATATCATGTTTGACATTTGAATAGATTTTGAAGCTTAGATTTTTTTTCATTGCGATGGTTCCATAATCTCACACCTGTGACTGAAACACAGAGAGCTGCACTCAGAGCTGGGCTGTTCTCACTTATATTTGAGTATATTTGAGAATATATAAGGCGCTCTGGATTATAAAGCGCACACTCGTTTTCGGGTGAAATTAAAGGATTTTAAGTGCGCCCTATAGTGCGGAAAATACGGTACATCTATCTGCTTAAATTGTGAATTAAAAACTACTCAAACTTTTTCACTTCTTACAGGCCTTTAAAGCCAGAAAACACGTGATCGGTGTGGGTACAGTGAGACAGAAAAAAAAAGATAAATATATATACACACACATACACACACATACTGTATTTATAGAGACTGTGGTGTGATGAGGTGGGTGAGGGCGACATCTAGTGGCAGTTTGCAGCAACACATTTTCCTAAAGTGTGAAGTGTGTGAAGAGAATCATCATCAACAGTCTTTATAAAGAGACACATCCAACCAAATATTTGTTCGACTTTAACAGGATATCGTCGACTTAAGTCTCCTCAAAGTCGCGTTTAAAGCAAAGCGCAGAGTGTCACCTGTAAATACTCAAAGTCTGTTTGAGACGAGAACAAACCACGACAATTTAAAAGGAAGTTAAGTTATGGAAAAGTCTTGACAAAGAAATAAAACAATCAAGTACAACAATGGCATTAAAAAACACATTAAATCGAATGCAATTTGTTTGTACGAGAAAAAAAACTAAGTTGTTGTCCATAAAAGTGAAGATTTCTGTTTGCAGTTTATTAATAATTGTGCCTGAACTGAAATATACCGATTTTAAATGTTTTAAAGTGACTCTCAGTGTTGATGTTTTGTCTTGAAAAGGGAAAAGGGGCAGAAAACATCAGACGACTTTTCTTCTTTCTGCTCCTTTTCATTTCATTTCTTGTATGTTTGCTGTTGTGGTACTGTCGATGTCTTTTTATACTTTATGAATGAAATAAATAAACATAATGAAGTGTTACGGTTTCCACTGGTCACTATTTGCACCTGTTTTTACACCAGATGCCCTTCCTGGACAAATACTTGATTTCTTGACTTAAAAACAGCAGACAGTATCTTTGTGACTTTTATTTAACCATTTTTAAAGATAAGAGTCCATGCGTCCTCACTGAACAAGAGGAATTAGTGAAACACCCAAATCTCACACTAGAACAGGAGTGTCCAAACCACATATCGAAAAACAAAGCAGAGGGCCGATCGAGGGCCGTAGACTGATGCTCAATACAGTGAATAATTGAAATGTTTAACACGTTAGAATGAGCTCAGTCTTTATTCACGCTAAGCTCCTTAAAACCACACACGGAATATTAAAAATGAGCTTTATCAAGGCAGATTTTCAAAAAACTTGCAGTAAAAAATAAATTAATTGATGCAAGGCAATTTGGGCCAATTCACCTGGACGTCTAAGGGCCAAGAAAAACTCATAGTTTGGACATGTCTGCACTAGAACATAAAAACAAAATGGAGGAATTCAACAGGCTGGTGAGTCTTTTCAGAGATCTGCTGCTCCCACAGTCCCAGTGAAGACTCGTGACTCCAAACTGGAAATGGTCAAATCACAAGTTAAATGTGGAACTGTTCCAAAGGGAAGATGGATCTTTTTTTGTGTGTGTCCTGGTGGAAGCGCTGCCCCCTGTTGGCCTCTCAGTGTTATCACTTTACTATGAAGGCACATTATGGCATTAGACCTGGTTTGGTTTCATCTACCCGAGCGACGAGTCAGCTCTGCACAAAGGTGAGCCTTCGATAGTGATGAAGAACATGAAGAAACACATGGATCATCACGGAGCGCTGCAGGTGGCAAACGGCTGAAGCAATCTTAAAACGAAAACGTCCTAGATTATGCAAAATTTAATCGCTTAGCTCCTCAAAAAAAAAAAAAAAAATTAAAAAAAATAAAAATAAAATAAAATTTAAAAACATACCTGGAAGTATATTTTCCATTCACACAAGTTATGTTAATTGAAACCTTAAAACTGCCAATCCTTTATCTGTACATTTTATGAGTCATTTGCATTTTAAAAACTGGAGCACTTCCCGTTTTACCACATGGCATCACAAGATTGAAAAGTTCTCACCTTGAGCCTAAAAAGTTTTTTTTAAGCGTGTGCGAACGAAACAATCTCAGGTATGTTTGAGGAAATTAGAACATGAGGCACTTTAACCATTACAAGTAATAAAGCGCGAGTGCAGTTCATAAAAAATTTATTCAAAAGACATAAAAGCATAAAAACATTGCTGTACATTTTACACATTCACACATTAAAATAGAACCAGGCCCGTGATGGAAGTTCCGTCTTTACTCCTGTGGGCCACGCTTCAAGCCTGGGCTGTTAAAAAAATAAAAATAAAATAAAAGCACAGTCTGGTCCCTTCACAGAAAAGTCCGTTGAGTGTCAGTAGCGCAGAGAGCCCAGCAGGGGTCTCACTGAGAGGCTTTAGCAGCAAACTCCTTGATGACCGAGCCTTTGAGCTGGGACAGAGTGGCGATCCTCATCTGTTTGGCAGTCGAGTACTTTCCCTTGACCGCCTGAGGACAGAGACCGTGTCAGTCTGAAGAAGCACAGTTTAAAAGATTCTGATCTATGGAACAGTTTCAAAATAAGAGTTTGTAGGTTCAGTCAAACACATTTAACAAACCCTGTATATTTAGACTCTTCTCTCAATCACAAGGTGGAGAACATTGAGCTTTGGAGATGTGGACAGACTAAAGTGTTAAACGTGTGAATGAAACATGGCTCCAGATATGTACCGTATTTTTTGGACTACAAGTCATTTTTTTTATGGTTCAGGTGTTTTCTGCAACTTGTATATTAGAATTTTCACACCGACAGCTGCGAGAGGCTCTAGACTCGTGCATGTTTTCTGCGCATGTCTCTGGCAGAAAAAGCCTGTTCTGCTGCATGTAGTAAAATATGCAGCTGAAAGAAAGTTTGGAGTGAGTAACTTGTGAGGGACTGGAGAACAACTTCACAACAACCGGGAGGATGAACCATGAAACTTTCCTCAAGTCAATGGATGGAAAAAGCCTGGACTTCAGTGACAACCAAAGTTGGAGTTTCTCAGAAGTGACACCGAGGATTTAGTGATTTTGTTGTCGTTTATGCTGGAATTATCTGAAGAAATGTTAATGCCTATTCAGCCAGTTTTCTTTGTTCTGTCATTACTATAACTTGAAATGTCTGTTCCTGGTCCCTGATTTTATAAAATAAATTTCCCCCAAAAAGTGTGACACGTTTTTCAGCTGGTGCGACTTCTAGTCCAAAATACAGTATGCAACATTCCAACTTTGCTAAAGCTCATAAGAGTACAGAGTACACTGTAATACAGGACTTAATTCTGTTATACTTATAGACTTACCATGTGCTTCGTCAGGCCTTCGTTAACCCTCACTACGTTCTTGGCGATGTGAGCCATAACTGGAACCAGACTCTCCGCGCTGTACTCCATGTAATGAGCTAAAGTGGCATCCTGCAGACAAATCAAAATCAGTTCATCCCAAATACTCCAAGCATTCAGCAGTTTCACATTTGTAAAAACATTGAGCCAAACAAGCTCCAGCTCTGACATGATGTTGTAACAGCACTGACCCATTCTCCAGCGTCCAGGACCTTGATGGTCAGAGCGAGCGCTGCACTGGCCACCATGGACGGAGGGAAGTGCACCATGTCGTAGTCCACCATGGTGAGCTCCAGCAGGTATTTGGCCAGAGTGTGCTGCTCTGCCGTCACCTGAGCACAAAGGTACGAGTTAAGCTCAAGTCACTAACAGTTTAACCTTCACAGTAAAAGGGATTCAGTCCCGTGTCTGCAGAGTGAGGAGACGTCACTGACAGCTGTACCTCGTGGATCTTTGACGCTCTCCGGAGGAACTGCAGGGGCACAGGACGTCCGAGCTTAAACTTGAGCGCACCGAGGATGTTCCTCTCCATGCTGCGGATCTGAGCGGGCGTGTAGGCGTGGTCCGTCACATAGGCAAAGTCTGAGATCTCAGGAGGATACATCTCCTCAAATTTAGAGGCGAGAAACATGGCAGTGACTCCCACGAGCTGCAGCTGCTTCTTGGGAACAGAATTGTCCTGTGACAGAGTCATGTTAGTGGCACGTGAGGGAAAACTAATAGTCAACACTCAGTGTCTCAGTTGGACAACGTGAACATCAGTGAGTCCGTTACCTGGAGGAAGCGGTCGATGATTGCCACAGTCATGTACATCGTCTCCTGCAGCAGGCGGAACTTGATGCTCACTTGGACGAGCCAGTCGATCAGGATGGCCCTCATGTTCCCCGTCACTTCCTGTCCCTGCAGGAAGTTGGGCCTGACATTCTGCTCAGCCTGGGAAACAAATTTCAGTCAGCAACTCGAGTGCTTCAAGTTCAGTCCCAGCCTCCCCTATTTGACCACAAAGTGTTTAATTACTCCATTTGATTCCACAGCCTTAGAACTGCACAAAATCATCTAAGTGCAACTGATTACCAGAGGTCACTCATCCAGTGTTGAAGCAGGAGTTAAACAAGCAAAGAGGGAACTGGAAAAGTGTGTACTTATTGCACATAAATGCCATGTTAAATGTCTGTTCAGCTTTCATTTAAAATATGATAATCATTCCTTTGTCATTTGTTACAAAAAGAATGTCCACGAGGAATTCTGCTTCCAAGTGGCCATTTACAAATATAGTTTGGCTCAAAAGGAGTCCATACTTCAACCTCAAACATGAACCAAAACGAGACGTTGCTCGATGAACTTTTCTATATTGCGTCCTTTAAATACAGCCGCCCTTTTGTAAATTCAAAAGTCAGACTGTCAGAGGAGCAGAGTCTTACCTCGAGCACACGAAGGTACTTGTAGATGTCCTTGACGTACTCGCTGCAGAGCATGGGGTTGTTGAAGTCGTCGGCGTCCACGTCCCGGATGGCCGTGTGCAGGAGGACGTCTGAGAAAGCCTGGCACAGCTCTGCAGGCTCACAGCCCGAGGTCTCCATCGGGGTGGGAGAGGTGGGCTCCGGGAGCGCCTGAGGGGGAAGGGGTACAAAACATGACTTTACAAAGCTTCAGGACACATGAACTCCAGGCCTTTAGCTCGTGGGCTGATTGTGTCCTAGTTGTACCATTTTATTTGCCGAGGATTTATATGGACAAGAGCAGAAGATGTGGTTTACATTTATATACAGGGCAGTTTAAACTCATGATTCACAAATTTAGTCTTAATACTGGGCCTCATTCATGAATCTTTTCTTAAGTTTGTAACTTCCACTTGCAGAGTCAGAGTGTTCTTATGCATCCAGATTCACCAACACCCACGAACACCTCTACTCATTTACAGTGAATTTACAAAGATTTGAAACTTCCTGAGCTTCCAGATATGATCAATGAGTTTGGCATCATGACATGTGAAAGTGAGTGATGAGATCAGGTGAAGCATCTACAGCAGGAGTCTCCAACCTGTAGCTTTTCACCCTTTTCCAAGTAGCTCGCCCAAGGTTTTCTAAATTATACATATTGTGCTGAAGTAGTAAAATTGTAAATTTATAATTTTAATGTCTCTGTACACTAATAGCTAATGGTTTAAGTTTTACAAATATCCAAGGCTTGCTGTGGCTTTTAAATTTACTCAATTTCTTGTGACCGCTAAAACTAGTAGCTCATCGGAAGAGAAAAGTTGGAGACCACAGCAGTTTTACCAATGTCCAAAATAAGCAGCCCCTTTTGTCATATTTATCGTGAGGGAGGGGTTCTGGGGTGATGTTTGTGTTGAGTCCAGCACGGTGACCAGGCACAGGTCTGTAACAGAGGCCCATATGGAGGCACTGGGGCTGGGACAGACTGAGGCTCACTGCAGCCTGGACAAAACCTTAAACCCAATAGACACAGGCTCTAAAAACTCAAATGTTATTGAATCAGTGATTTTTTAAAATAATTTACAAGTATTTACAACTTGCAACCATGGAGGAATTACAATTTTTAGTTGCATTATGAGTGATAATATTCCAAAACAGTAGAATTTTTGTTCATATGACACTGACTGTTCGTGAGAAGGCCTTAACTGAAAAATGTTCTTCTGGGGAGAACAAATTCTACAAACATTTTGGCATTCACAAAACTCTTAAGTACATATTTGTTTATAAAAATGCTTCATGAATGAGGCCCATTGTCTCCTTTGCATAGTTTTTGCATGACTCTCCCTGGGTCAGATACACGGAGATGCGCAACAGTTTCAACAAATCGGTGCATCACGTCTTTAATGGAAGAATTTTAGTCGACCACAGCCCTAATGAACTGACATTTAACATTAAAGAGCGACAGGATTAACTCACTTTAACCTTAGGCTCTGGTTGCACTGGAGCAGGGACATCTTTGGGTTTCGCTTGCTCAACCACCTTCTGAACTTTGGTCGTTGCCCTCGTCACCACCTTCTTTAGGGTACAGAAGGAAAAAAAAAAGTTTGACAATTTCTCCACATTTTCTCACCTCTTAAACACATCTGGATGAAATATCACTACGTACCTTCTTCTGGACCGCCTTGTTGTCGGGGACGTTTCCGAGCTCGCCCAGAACAGCTCGCGTCTGGAGGGACGGCGCTCCGGGCTTCACCGCTTCAGACCGGGTGGTGGAGGCCAAGCGATTCTGCAGAGAAACATGCAGAGAGAATGAGTTACAAAAAGCCTTCTGTATATAAATCAGGGTGACCAGACGTCTCCATTTCCCCGGGACAGTCCCAGTTTTGAGTCCTGTGTCCCAGCAGATCTATCCAAAACCAGTGATTTGTCTCAGTTTTACACAAGAAATGTCCCAGGTGTCATGTATAATAATATTGCTGGTGGTGATGACAGTGATAATACTTAATTTTTATTATATTGTTATTGTTGGTTATTATTCATTTATCTACCCATTTTACTTTTTTTTTTTAAATTAATTTATACATTTTATTCTTATCAGTTTTTTTTTCTTGCAAATATTGTTTAGTGAATTAGTGAATGTGGTTTGTCATTATTTATTTTTTTTTGTATGTTGAACTGTGTTAATAACGTGGTCAGTTATTCATGTGAAAACAAATTTTATCGTCTGAAAATAAAAAAATATTGGGGGAAAAAAATAAAAATAAAATGTCCCAGGTGTCTATTTTTGACCAATTTGATACCTGCTTACCGTAAAGAGAGGCATAAATTGTCACTCATTCAGGTAAAATACAGAAAAGACGTTTAGAAATGACCAAAGCACAAAGAAAATGAGACTATACCGACTCACATGAACGGGCAGAGGGCAGAACAGTTCTTAACTACACACTCATTTCATATTTTTATTACCAACCACCACAAACCAAGGATGTCCCAGTGTTTGATTCTGAAAATATGGTCGCCCTAATGTAAATGCTTTTTGTATGTAAAGTTAAAATACATAGACTCTACAGCACAAAAATATAGAAGTTGAAATTTACAAGAGCAAGTAGGATTTAGTCAACTATTTAAGACAGAAAACTTCACTTTAAACCAGGGGTGGGCAATAATTTTTTCTATACAGCCACATGAGAAACAGAAAATATTGTGGAGGGTCTGGCCAAAAAGTTGGTGAGACTGGTTAAAGTTTATGTTACGACTAAGCAATGAAAAAGTGAGGCCGCCATACAAAAATGTAAAACTCTAAAATAAATAGCAACGCAGTTTTAGTCCATGCATGAGGTAAGAATGTTGAAATAGTTTGTAACTCAAAAAGATCTTAAATGGGCCAGTCAGAGTCAAACAAAGGTCCGTATGTGTCCCGGGAGCTATAAAACGCCCAGTTCTGCTATAAATTATAAGTAAATAAAAGTAAATAAGGCAGAAATCGAACTTTGGGCGGCCATTTCCTGAAGCCCCAAAGCCTCTCTGCACGAGCTCTCTGCACGAGCCCGACACAGCGCACGAGACATTCGAAAAATTCCATCACACATTTAACAAAATGAACCAAAACGGCGAAATGAGGATCTTTAAACCAAAATACGATTGCAGGTTATTTACAAAACACGTTTACTTACGCGGGTAACACGGAGAGCCATGATAAAGTGCTGCCGTTTCCACACAGAGTCCTGGAATAATAAAAGAGGTCGTGTCTTCAAAGAAAGAACAGGCTTGGTTTAAATCCTCGCTGTCTGCGCTCTGATTGGCTGGCCCCGGGCACCAGCGGCTCTCTGATTGGTCAAGCGCACCCGTTTCGAATGCGTTGCCCCGGCAATCACGTCAGCTGTACGTGTGGCGTATTTCCGCGTCCGGTGTTTTCGCGTTTTAAAAATGATTTTTTTTGTAATAAAATAATAACAAATGTACGACGGAGTATAAGAGCCAGATAAAAAAAAAAAAAAAAACTTGCTGGGGCTACGAGAATAAAGTCGTAACATTTTGACATTAAAGTCGTAATATTATGAGAATAAAGTCGAAGCCAGAAAAAGTCGTAATTTTACGAGAATAAAGTCGAAGTTAAAATAAAGTCGTAATATTATGAGAATAAAGTTATAATATTACGAGAATGAAGTCGTAATAAAATCAAAGTCAAAGTGAAAAATGCGGCAGAAGAAAAACCTTGTTTTTCAATATAAAACCAAAAATAAGAAAACGAACAACAATTTTCTTCATTATTTATTTATTTTATTTTTATCTGACCCTTATACTCCGTCATACAAATGTGAATTGTGCTGCGAATAAAAATATTTACGGTCATATCTACGGTCTATGGTGCTGCCTAAAAACACAAGCTGAGAAGTTTTATTGTTTCATTGTTTTATTTAGAGATAGAAAGGTACTGGGCTTTGCTAGTGCCAATAACACAAATACATTATGTTCGTCACTGATTGATATAGTTTGTGTGAAAAAAGTAAAATAATAAATACAATACAATATAAATAGATAACCAAATAAACAATAAATAACAGTCGGGCTGTACTCTGAATCATTTCAAAAGGCAATAACCTTTTTAGACCAGAAGAGTTCTGCACTCTGAACTTTTCTTTTTCTTTTTAACTGTTACCCCCAAGAATGTTTGCAACAAGTTTATGAAACCATAATAATGATAATAATAATAATAATAAAAAACTACAATAACTATGTGTCTAATGAAATTAGGCTACTTATCATGCATTTATTTGTTCATTCACTGTTAACTAAAGTAAACATTTTAAAAGTTCATGTACCTTTAATTTGGCTGGAACATTTGGTGAGTTTAGTCTGAGGTTAGTCCTGTTTTAGTCTGGGGTTAGTCCTGCTTTAGTCTGGAGTTAGTCCTGTTTAGTCTGGAGTTAGTCCTGTTTTAGTCTGGAGTTAGTCCTGTTTTAGTCTGGAGTTAGTCCTGCTTTAGTCTGGAGTTAGTCCTGATTTAGTCTGGAGTTAGTCCTGTTTTAGTCTGGAGTTAGTCCTGTTTTAGTCTGGAGTTAGTCCTGTTTTAGTCTGGAGTTAGTCTGTTTTAGTCTGTTAGTCCTTTTTTAGTCTGGAGTCCTGTTTTAGTCCTGGAGTTAGTCTGTTTTAGTCTGGTTTAGTCTGTTTTAGTCTGGAGTTAGTCCTGTGTTTTAGTCTGGAGTTAGTCCTGTTTTAGTCTGGGTTAGTCCTGTTTTAGTCTGGATTAGTCCTGTTTTAGTCTGGAGTTAGTCCTGTTTTAGTCTGGAGTTAGTCCTGTTTTAGTCTGGAGTTAGTCCTGTTTTAGTCTGGGGTTAGTCCTGTTTTAGTCTGGAGTTAGTCCTGTTTTAGTCTGGAGTCCTGTTTTAGTCTGGAGTTAGTCCTGTTTTAGTCTGGGTTAGTCTTTAGTCTGGAGTTAGTCTGTTAGTCTTTTAGTCTGGAGTTAGTCCGTTTTAGTCTGGAGTTAGTCTGTTTTAGTCTGGTTAGTCCTGTTTTAGTCTGGGGTTAGTCCTGTTTTTAGTCTGGAGTTAGTCCCTTTTAGTCTGGATTAGTCTGTTTAGTCTGGGGTTAGTCCTGTTTTAGTCTGGAGTTAGTCCGTTTTAGTCTGGGTTAGTCCCGTTTTTAGTCTGGAGTTAGTCTGTTTTAGTCTGGGGTTAGTCCTGTTTTAGTCTGGAGTTGTCTGTTTAGTCTGGAGTTAGTCCTGTTTTTAGTCCTGGAGTTAGTCCTGTTTTAGTCTGGAGTTAGTCCTGTTTTAGTCTGGAGTTAGTCCTGTTTTAGTCTGGAGTTAGTCTTTTAGTCTGGGGTTAGTCCTGTTTTAGTCCTGTTTTAGTCTGGAGTTAGTCCTGTTTAGTCTGGAGTTAGTCCTGTTTTAGTCTGAGTTAGTCCGTTTAGTTTTAGTCTGGGGTTAGTCTGGTTTAGTCCTGTTTTAGTCTGGAGTTAGTCCCTGTTTTAGTTGGTCTGGTGTTAGTCTGTTTTAGTCTGGGGTTAGTTTTTAGTCTGGAGTTAGTCTGTCTGTTAGTTGTTTTAGTCTGGGTTAGTCCTGTTTTAGTCCTGGAGTTAGTCTGGAGTTTCCTGTTTTAGTCTGGGGTTAGTCCTGTTTTAGTCTGGAGTTAGTCCTGTTTTAGTCTGGAGTTAGTCTGTTTTTTTAGTCTGGAGTTAGTCCTGTTTTAGTCTGTTAGTAGTCTAGTCTGGAGTTAGTCTGTTTTAGTCTGGGGTTAGTCCTGTTTAGTCTGGGTTAGTCCTGTTTTAGTCTGGAGTTAGTCTGTTTTAGTCTGGGGTTTCCTGTTTTAGTCTGGAGTTAGTCTGTTTTAGTCTGGGGTTAGTCCTGTTTTAGTCTGGGGTTAGTCCCTGTTTTAGTCTGGAGTTAGTCTGTCTGTGTTTTAGTCTGAGTTAGTCCCGTTTTAGTCCTGTTAGTTGTTTTAGTCTGGCCTGGTTTTAGTCTGGAGTTAGTCCTGTTTTAGTCTGGAGTAGTTTAGTCTGGAGTTAAGACCTGTTTAGTCTGGAGTCCTGTTTTAGTCTGGAGTCCTGTTTAGTCTGGAGTTAGTCTGTTTTAGTCTGGAGTTAGTCCTGTTTTAGTCTGGAGTTAGTCCTGTTTTAGTCTGGAGTTAGTCTGGAGTTAGTCTGTTTTAGTCTGGGGTTAGTCCTGTTTAGTCCTGTTTAGTTTAGTCTGGTCTGGAGTTAGTCCTGTTTTTAGTCTGGAGTTAGTCTGTTTTAGTCTGTTTTAGTCTGTTTTAGTCTGGAGTTAGTCCTGTTTAGTCTGTTTAGTCTAGTTCTGGATTTTAGTCTGGAGTTAGTTCTGTTTTAGTCTGGAGTTAGTCCTGTTTTAGTCTGGAGTTAGTCCCTGTTTTAGTCTGGAGTTAGTCCCTGTTTTAGTCTGGAGGTTAGTCCTGTTTTAGTCTGGAGTTAGTCCTGTTTTAGTCTGGAGTTAGTCCTGGTTTTAGTCTGGAGTTAGTCCTGTTTTAGTCTGGAGTTAGTCCTGTTTTAGTCTGGGGTTAGTCCTGTTTTAGTCTGGGGTTAGTCCTGTTTTAGTCTGGAGTTAGTCTTGGTTTAGTCTGGGTTAGTCCTGTTTTAGTCTGGGGTTAGTCCTGTTTTAGTCTGGGGTTAGTCCTGTTTTGTCAGATCACGTCAGGAACACGGGCGACTGGTTTAGTTCTGGTTCGTTAACATAGTCTGAGTTTAGTCTGGTTCAGTTTTCTGGTTGAGTCTGAGTTTACGCACAGTGAATGTGTCGAGTATCAGCAGTGTTGGGAGTGTTACTTTTAAAATGTAATCCCCTACAGATTACAGATTACACACACCAAAATGTAGTTTGTAACATAATCCATTAAATTACTTAAAGTGAGTAATGTAATCTGATTACTTTGGATTACTTGATTTACTGTAGAGAAACAAAGACGAGGAAATCTTCACATAAAATGTTTTGTCTGATAAAAGAAAATAAAAAGTCCAGACTTTACTGAACCAAATTCAAAATATTATTGGTAGAAGAAGAAGAGACACGTCCACACACCAGGATTTAGTCCTGTTAAATCCTGTTTGAGACCTGGTTTAGACCTGGTTTAGATTTGGTTTAGACCTGGTTTAGACCTGGTTTTAGATCTGTTTTTAGACCTGGCTTAGACCTAGTTTAGACCTGGTTTTAGACCTTTTTAGACCTAGACCTGGTTTTAGAACCTTAGACCTGGTTTAGACCTGGTTTTAGACCTGACCTGGTTTAGACCTGGTTTAGACCTGGTTTAGACCTGGTTTTTAGACCTGGTTTTAGACCTGGTTTTTAACTGGTTTTAGACCTGGTTTAAACCTGGTTTAGACCTGGTTTTTAGACCTGGTTTTAGACCTGGTTTTATTTAGACCTGGTTTAGACCTGGTTTAGACCTGGTTTAGACCTGGTTTAGACCTGGTTTATGGTTTAGACCTGGTTTAGACCTGTTTTAGACCTGGTTATACCTGGGATAGGTTTAGACCTGTTTATGGAGCGAGTTACGTAAGAGTCACAGGAGCAGAACCACGTCCAAGAAGAGCCCCCCCCCTCCTCCGCTCGGCCCTGACACCAGACGACACCACACCAGACCAAAAATAAAGTGTATAACATCTCAGAAGAAACCTGATATGTTGTTCAGAGCGGCACAAGGGAACAGGCGTGAGCTCAGAACATCTGAATGTTGCTCGTAAAACAACTCCAGTGCAGATGTTTTCACTTTTACACCACAGCTTCCTACTCCAAGACCAGTGGCACCAAAGACGAGCAGCGATACAGACTACAGTTTGTGACTATGTAAATTAGGAGGTAATTATCTCCCCCACTAATCGAAATCAAAAATACAAACAGTGGTGACTCATGTTTTGTAAAATCATCATCAGGCCGATAATATATTTATTTAAACTAATTATTGTGGAGAATACTTTTACTTTAACTACATTTCCCACTCACACTTCAGACCTGTTTTAGTCTGGAGTTAGTCCTGTTTTAGTCTGGGTTAGTTCTGTTTTAGTCTGGAGTTAGTCCTGTTTTAGTCTGGAGTTGTTTTAGTCTGGAGTTAGTCTGGTCTGGAGTTAGTCCGTTTTAGTCTGGAGTTAGTCTGGAGTTAGTCCTGGTCGGAAGTTAGTTCTGGGAGTTGTCCTGAGTTTAGTCTGGAGTTGGAGTTGAGTCCCGGTTTAGCTGGAGTCTGTTTAGTCTGGAGTTAGTCCTGTTTTAAGTCTGGGTTAGTCCTGTTTTAGTCTGGAGTTAGTCCTGTTTTAGTCTGAGGGAGTTAGTCTGTTTTAGTCTGGGGTTAGTCCCTTTTAGTGTCTGGGAGTTAGTCCCGTTTTAGTCTGGAGTTAGTCCCTGTTTTAGTCTGGAGTTAGTCCTGTTTTAGTCTGGAGTTAGTCCTGTTTTAGTCTGGAGTTAGTCCTGGTTTTAGTCTGGTCTGGAGTTAGTCCTGGTTTAGTCTGTTTAGTCTGGAGTCCTGGTTTAGTCTGGAGTTGTCCTGTTTAGTCTGGAGTTAGTCCTGGTTTTAGTCTGGAGTTAGTCCTGTTTTAGTCTGGAGTTAGTCTGTTTTAGTCTGGAGTTAGTCCTGTTTTAGTCTGGAGTTAGTCCTGTTTTAGTCTGGAGTTAGTCCTGTTTTAGTCTGGAGTTTGAGTCTGGAGTTAGTCCTGTTTAGTCTGGAGTTAGTCCTGCTGTTTAGTCTGGAGGTTAGTCCCTGTTTTAGTCTGGAGTTTTAGTCCCGTTTTAGTCTGGGTTAGTCCTGTTTTAGTCTGGTTAGTCCTGGTTTAGTCTGGAGTTAGTCCTGTTTTAGTCTGGAGTTAGTCCTGTTTTAGTCTGGAGTTAGTCCTGGTTTAGTCTGGAGTTAGTCCTGTTTTAGTCTGGAGTTAGTCCTCGTTTTAGTCTGGAGTTAGTCCTGTTTTAGTCTGGAGTCTGGAGTTAGTCCTGGTTAGTTAGTTAGTCTGGGGTTAGTCCTGTTTAGTCTGGAGTTAGTCCTGTTTTAGTCTGGGGTTAGTCCTGTTTTAGTCTGGAGTTAGTCCTGGTTTAGTCTGGAGTTAGACCTGGTTTTTAGTCTGGAGTTAGTCCTGGTTTAGTCTGGAGTTAGTCCTGGAGTTAGTCCTGGTTTAGTCTGGAGTTTAGTCCTGTTTAGTCTGGAGTCTGGAGTTAGTTGTTTAGTCTGGAGTTAGTCTGTTTTAGTCTGGAGTTAGTCCTGTTTTAGTCTGGAGTTAGTCCTGGTTTAGTCTGGAGTTAGTCCTGTTTTAGTCTGGAGTTAGACCTGGTTTAGTCTGGAGTTAGACCTGGTTTAGTCTGGAGTTAGTCCTGGTTTAGTCTGGAGTTAGACCTGGTTTAGTCTGGAGTTAGTCCTGGTTTAGTCTGGAGTTAGACCTGGTTTAGTCTGGAGTTAGACCTGGTTTAGTCTGGAGTTAGTCCTGTTTTAGTCTGGAGTTAGACCTGTTTTAGTCTGGAGTTAGAGTCCTGTTTTAGTCTGGAGTTAGACCCTGGTTTAGTCTGGAGTTAGTCCTGGTTTAGTCTGGAGTTAGACCTGGTTTAGTCTGGAGTTAGTCCTGTTTTAATCTGGGTTTATTTATAATAATTAACACGCTTGAATAGAAATAAATCTCTCTTTGGTCCCGTGGTCTTGTGAGGTCCTTGTCGGGCTCCTGTCAGTCTGCTCCACCGCCGGCAGGTGGCGCTGCGCCTCTGTGTAGCTCCTCCACGGGCTGGTTTGGCGGAGAGTCCTGGTCCTGCCCCCGGTCCTGCCTCTGCCCCCGGGACCGTGACACAAACCGCGGGACGAGTCCGGGGAAGACAGCGGTGTTCCTCCGCAGCTGCGCCCGCTCTGACCGCGCTCTCCCCCGGGCTGCACACGCCGAGGAGCCGCGGTGCTGCCGGAGCCACGGAGCCGCAGGAGCCACGGAGCAAACGGGTCTGGATCTGGGTTCGGGTCGCGCGTTTCCGAAGCTGTGGAGGAGCAGATAATATTATGGTGAGTGACATTACGCACGTCTTAAAAGTCTTACACACGGGAAAGACGCGCGTAAAAACACAAACAAACGTGACTTTCTTTTAATAAAATGAGAAGTTCGGCTCCGGGAAAGTTACTCAGACTAAACCTCGATCCACAAGAGTCAATAAAAACGTTTTCGATCTTTGAAACGTTTGCGTAAAAAGACCTTGAACTGCGTTTCACGTGGAAAAAGTTTTGCTCCTGACATGTCCCTCTTTCCTCGTGGAAGTGCTCCTGTGTGTTTCTAAAGTCCACACACGTGACCAGAACAAATCGATGCACCAATCAGCTCACAAGTCGAGTAGGGAGGAAAAGTGTCAACAGTGCAGAGACTTCAGAGGAGATTTGTGTTTTTCACGCAGCACAGAGTCACATTCACATTTAAAAGAACTGATATACAGAATATACAGAGTGACCAGAGTGACCAGAGTGACCAGAGTAGGGCTGGGTATCATTAAGAAATTGCCAATACGATACATACCTCGATACAGTGCACTTTTGTTTCGATACAATATATTTCAAATCTATACGATACAGTTCAATAAAAATAAATGCTAAATTATGGCTGTGATACTAAAAGTGTTTGTTAAACCACTTCTTGTGCCAAGTTAATATGAAATACAGCCATTTTAATCATCAAAACTGTGAACATTTTAAATGTGTTGCATAAACAAGTTTCCTTCCTCTGAAAAAGCAACAACAACTGTAGCTGTAACAAAATAATTTAGTAAAATATACCAAAAAATACTCTTGGCGATATATCGATACAGCAGCCCACGAATATCAATACTGTATCATCAAATTAAGCAATATGATATATCGATATTTCAATATTTTTACACACCCCTAGTCCAGAGTGACCAGACGTCCCTGTTGACCCGGGACAGTCCCAGTTTTAAGCCCAGTGTCCTCCTGTCCCAGCAGATTTATCTAAAACCACAGATTTGTCCCAGTTTTATACAAAAAAAGTCCTTATTTTGGACCAATCTGATCTCTGCCAACAGTAAACAGAGACATAAACTGTCATTTGTTGAAATAAAACACAGAAAATCTGCTTAAAAACGACTAAAACACAAAGAAAACGTGACTGTACTGACTCACATGAAGTCATGAATGGTCTGCAGAACAGTTTTTCTTAATTTCGCACTTGTTTCACAATTTTATTATTACCAACCACCTCAAACTGGGAGTGACCCAATTTTTGATGTTGAAAATTGGGTCACCATACTTAAGTTACCTTGTGTTGTCCACTATACGACTAAAACTAGAGTGACCAGACGTCCCTGTTTCCCCGAGACAGTCCCAGATTTAAGTGTTTTAAGTGTCCCCTGTCCCAACAGATTTATCTAAAACCACTGATTTGTCCAAGTTTTATACAAAAAACTGTCCCTTGTGTCTCTATTTTTAACCAATCTGATCCTGCCAACAGTAAACAGAGACAAAATCTGTCATTTGTTTTGGTAAAATACAGAAAATCTGCTTAAAAAATGCCCAAAACACAAAGAAAATGTGACTGTACTGACTCAAATAAAGTCAGGAATGGTCTCTCTTTTCTTAATTCCGCACTCTTGTCACAGTTTTATTATTACCAACCACTCTGGTCAGTCCCTACTTAAGTTACCTTCTGTTGTCCACCATACATTAAAGCTAGAGTGTCCAGACGTCTGTATTTCCCCGTGGACAGTCCCAGTTTTGATCCTGTGTCCCCTGTCCCAGCAGATTTATACAAAACCACTGATTTGTCCCAGTTTTATACAAAAAACGTCCCTTGTGTCTCTATTTTTAACCAATCTGATCCTGCCAACAGTAAACAGAGACATAAATTGTCATTTGTTTTGCTAAAATACGAAAAATCTGCTTAAAAAATGACCAAAACACCAAGAAAATGTGACTCTACTGACTCACACGAAGTCATGAATGGTCTGCAGAACAGTTTTTCTTAATTCCGCACTCTTGTCACAATTTTACTATTACCAACCACATCAAACTGGGAAAATCTGGTCACCATACTTAAGTTACCTTCTGTTGTCCACTATATGACTAAAACTAGAGTGACCAGACGTCCCCATTTACCCAGGACAGTCCCAGTTTTGATCCTGTGTCCCCCGTCCCAACAGATTCATACAGAACCACTGATTTGTCCCAGTTTTATACAAAAAACATCCCTTGTGTCTCTATTTTTAACCAATCTGATCCTGCCAACAGTAAACAGAGACATAAATTGTCATTTGTTGAAATAAAACACAGAAAATCTGCTTAAAAACGACTAAAACACAAAGAAAACGTGACTGTACTGACTCACATGAAGTCATGAATGGTCTGCAGAACAGTTTTTCTTAATTTCGCACTTGTTTCACAATTTTATTATTACCAACCACCTCAAACTGGGAGTGTCCCAGTTTTTGATGTTGAAAATTGGGTCACCATACTTAAGTTACCTTGTGTTGTCCACTATACGACTAAAACTAGAGTGACCAGACGTCCCTGTTTCCCCGAGACAGTCCCAGATTTAAGTGTTTTAAGTGTCCCCTGTCCCAACAGATTTATCTAAAACCACTGATTTGTCCAAGTTTTATACAAAAAACTGTCCCTTGTGTCTCTATTTTTAACCAATCTGATCCTGCCAACAGTAAACAGAGACATAAATTGTCATTTGTTTTGCTAAAATACAGAAAATCTGCTTAAAAAATGACCAAAACACCAAGAAAACGTGACTGTACTGACTCACATGAAGTCATGAATGGTCTGCAGAACAGTTTTTCTTAATTTCGCACTTGTTTCACAATTTTATTATTACCAACCACATCAAACCGGGACTAGAACTAGAGTGTCCAGACGTGTGTATTTACTCGGGACAGTCCCAGTTTTGATCCTGTGTCCCCTGTTCCGGCAGATTTATCTAAAACTACAGATTTGTCCCAATTTTATACAAAAAATGTCCCTTGTGTCTCTATTTTTGACCAATCTGATCCTGCCAACAGTAAACAGAGACATAAACTGTCATTTGTTGAAGTAAAATACAGAAAATCTGCTTAAAAACGACTAAAACACAAAGAAAATGTGACTGTACTGACTCATATTTTGGTCAGGAATTGTCTCTACAGAACAATTTTATTATTAACAACCACCTCAAACCGAGACTAGAACTAGAGTGACCAGACGTCTGTATTTACCCGGGACAGTCCCAGTTTTGAACCCGTGTCCCCTGTTCCTGCAGATTTATACAAAACCACTCATTTGTCCCAGTTTTATACAAAAAAATGTCCCTTGTGTCTCTATTTTTAACTAATCTGATCTCTGTCAACAGAGACATAAATTGTCATTTGTTTTGGTAAAATACAGAAAATCTGCTTAAAAATGACCAAAACACAAAGACAATGTGACTGTACTGACTCAGATTAATGCCGAGTGCGGAACAATTTTCAGTTTTTATTATTACCAGGGATGTCCCCGTGTTTTATTTTGAAAATCTGGTCAAACTAATTATATTAATGAATTAACATCTCATGCGTTTCAGAACATTGTAAAAGTGTAAACTGCTGTGTTTTGAGCTACAGGCCTTAAAAAGTGTTGCTCAACATGTTGCAAGAAATAATTTAGTAAAAAAGAGCAAGTTTTTAATCATTGTTATTGCACAAGACACGAGAGACTCACGGTTGTAGTGTGTTTTCAATCATTCTACAAACTACACACACACACACACACACACACATACACACACACACACACACACACACACACACACACACACACACACACACACACACACACACACACACACACACACACACACACACACACACACATACACACACACACACACACACACACACACACACACACACACACACACACACACACATACACACACACACACACACACATACACACACACACACACACACACACACACACACATACACACACACACACACACACACACACACACACACACACATACACACACACATACACACACACATACACACACACACACACACACACACACACACACACACACACACACACACACACATACACACACACACACACACACACACACATACACACACACACACACACACACACACACACACACACACACACAAAGAAGAAGTACTTTTACTGCTACTTGAGTCATATTTTTATAGAAGTCACAGTACTCGAGTAAAAGCTGTGAGTAAGAGACAAAAGTTTCATGTGACAATATGAAATGATCTGAACTTTTCTCTCGCTGTTCCTTCAAATCTCATTGAGTTTGTCTCATTTTTGTGTCTGTAATGAAATCAAGAGAAATCGAAGTTTTAGTTTTTTGTTTTTTAATTAATAATAGAGAATAATAGAACACACTGCCGGGGGAGACAGATGTGGAAGAAGAAAACTTAAATGTGCCACTGTCCCTCAGTCGTGCAGGTAGAATCCAAAGTGAGGGGAAAATTCAGTTTGTCGACTGGACAAAAGTTAGATTTTTTGTCCTAACTAACTTTTAACTGAATTTTCTCCTCGGCACAGCGCCACTGTTAAACTGTACAAAGATATTCATAGATGTACGACTTTTATGTCATTATGTTTTTTTGTTGACACTTTTACAAACAGTAGATACATAGAATTTGAATTGCTTCATTAAAACAGGAAAAGGTAATTTTTTATAAAGTACATTTTTTATTTAAACCTAAATTCTTTCCATCCATCCATGTTCTTCCTCTTATCTGGGGTTGGGTCTCAGGGGCTTCAGTCTAAGCAGAGACTCCCAGACTTCCTTCACCCCAGACACTTCCTCCAGCTCCTCTGGGGGACCTCGAGGTGTTCCCTAAGGCTGGTATCATTAAGAAGTTGCCGATACGATACATACATCGATACACAGGCCACGATACGATACATATCTCGATACACAGACCACAATACGATACATACATCGATACATAAGCCACGATACGATACATATCTCGATACAGTGCAGTTTCGATTGATATGATATATTTCAAACCTATTCGATACAGTTCAAGAAAAAATAAAGTCAAAATCGTGGCTGTGATACTAAAGTCTTTGTTAAACCACTTCTTCTTGTGCAAAGTTCATATGAAACACAAACATTTTAATCACTACAGCAGTGAAAATGTCAAATGTGTCGCATAAATGAGTTTCCTTTCACTCCACAAGCAACAAAACTGTAGCTGGAACAAAATAATTTAGTAAAACACACCTAAAAATACTCTTGGTGATATATCGATACAGTAGCCCACGATATTGATACTGTATCATCACATTAAACGATACGATATATCGATATTCCGATATTTTTGCACACCCCTAGTGTTCCCAGACTAGTCCAGAGACATCGTCCCTCCAGTGTGTCCTGGCTCTTCCCCGGGGCCTCCTCCCGGTGGGACATGAACACCAGAACAGACGCTCCTCTCCACGTGGAGGAGCAGCGGCTCTACTCCGAGCTCCTCCCGTGTGACTGAGCTCCTCACCCTGTCTCTAAGGGAGACGCCCAGACACCCTGCGGAGGAAACTCATTTGTGTCGCTTGTATCGTGGATCTGGTCCTTCAGGTCATGACCAGAGGTGAGGGGAGGAACAGAGACTGACACTAAATCCAGACTCAGCTCCTCTTCACCACAACGGTCCGATACAGCGACCGCATCACTGCCCACGCTGCACCTGTCCACCTGTCCACCTGTCCACCTGTCAATCTCACGCTCCTTCCTCCCCTCACTCCAGAACAAGACCCGACAGACTTGAACTCCTCCACTAATCTCGGACTTCCGGTCATCGCACATTTCACACTGGGAAGGATTTTCCGAAAAAGTGAGCATCAAACCTCCATGTTTGTTTTCCCAGTGGGATGTGTCTGTTGTCAAAGTCGATCTTTTCAAGTCTTTTGAACCATATCACTTTTGTTTCTGGTTTTGATATTGTCATATTTTAGTTTTGGGATTCGGACGTCGTAATTGTGTGGTTGTTGGATCCTAACAGCGGAAAACGACTCGAGAAAGAAAGACGTTTGTGAACTCCATAAATGCAAAAGTGAATCAGATGTGTGTGACTCAAACCTCTGTTCAAACTGTTTCTCTTCCCAACGGAATTGAAAAATAGTGAAAGGTGAAGGTGATGGGCAGGATTGATCCACAGGAAGAACCAAAAAGGAAAACATTTGACTGTCTAAATCATCCTGAGTTTACAGAGAACATTTTGTATGTGGAGCGACGACAAAACAAAATCCCGTTTGTTAAGTGAGAGGAGCAGAAGACAAACAGACTGAGCTGCACTTTCTTGTTCTTGTGGTTTTACAGAAACATCACGTCTTGGTCTCTTTGCAGTGGAAGGTGTTTCTTGGTGAACAGTTGGAGCCTTTCACTTTTTAAACTTTTTAAATTCATATCCAAGGTTGAGGATCGGGATTTTGTTTTGTCGTCGCTCCACATACAAAATGTTCTCTGTAAACTCGGGATGATTTCTTAGTCAGTCAAATGTTTCCTTTTTGGTTCTTCCTGTGGATCAATCCTGCCCATCACCTTCACCTTTCACTATTTTTCAATTCCGTTGGGAAGAGAAACAGTTTGAACGGAGGTTTGAGTCACACACATCTGATTCACTTTTGCATTTATGAAGTTCACAAACGTCTTTCTTTCTCGAGTCGTTTTCCGTTGTTTGGATCCAACAACCACACAATTACGACGTCCGAATCCCAAAACTAAAAATATGACAATATCAGAACCAGAAACAAAAGTGATATGGTTCAAAAGACTTGAAAAGATCGACTTTGTCAATAGACACATCCCACTGGGAAAACAAACATGGAGGTTTGATGTTCACTTTTTCAGAAAATCCTTCCCAGTATGAATTGCGCGATGACCAGAAGTCCGAGATTCATGATGCGTGTATTTTAAGTCTTTCTAAAAAGTTTCCAAAACGCAGGACGTGAACTCGTTGCATTCATGTTGTTTTTCTCTGGACGGTCAGGCTCATTTTTCCGTCTGTTTGTCGTTGAAATCGCGCGCGTCCGTGTTTTCCCACAGTTTTCCCACAGTCCACAGCTCAGTGTGACCTGCACTTGAGCCTAACCCTGTTCATTTATTTTATTGGTCTAATGTAGGAAACACAGCCCCTCCTCCTCTTCTCCACCCATCCTTCCATCCTCCTCCTCCTCCTCTTCCTCCTCTTCTTCCTCTTCTGCTCTGGTTCTGTTTACTTTGGGCCTAATTGTCTGCAGTTCCGGCTCTGGGTAAACACACATTTTGATAAGCTCCATCTGAGCCTGACTGCTTCTCTCTCTCCACCTCCACCTTTTTCTCTCTCTCCACCTCCACCTTTTTCTCTCTCTCCACCTCCACCTTTTTTTTTTTCTTGAACCCTCACCTACCACCCTCCTCCCTCTCTCTCTCTCTCTCTCTCTCTCTCTCTCTCTCTCTCTCTCTCTCTCTCTCTCTCCCTCTCTCTCTCTCTCTCTCTCTCTCTCTCTCTCTCTCTCTCTCTCTCTCTCTCTCTCTCCCTCTCTCTCTCTCTCTCTCTCTCTCTCTCTCTCTCTCTCTCTCTCTCTCTCCTCTCTCTCTCTCTCTCTCTCTCTCTCTCTCTCTCTCTCTCTCTCTCTCTCTCTCTCCTCTCTCTCTCTCTCTCTCTCTCTCTCTCTCTCTCTCTCTCTCTCTCTCTCTCTCTCTCTCTCTCTCTCTCTCTCTCTCTCTCTCTCTCTCTCTCTCTCTCTCTCTCTCTCTCTCCTCTCTCTCTCACTTTACTGTCTTCCTTCACGTCTTTCACAGCCTCCCTCCCTCTTTCTCTCTCTGTCTCTTAAACACACACAAACACACACACACACACACACACACACACACACACACACACACACACACACACACACACACACACACACACACACACACACACACACACACACACACACACACACACACACACACACACACACACACACACACACACACACACACACACACACACACACACACACACACACACACACACACACACACACACATTGCTTATACCCGACAACAACTTACACCAGTGAGAGTGAAAACAGCATTTATTTCCTTCAAAAATAAATAAATAAATAATAAAATAAATAATAATAATATGTAAAATAAAATAAATAAAAAATAAATAAATACAAATAAAATAAATAATAAATAAAATAATAATAATAATAATAATATATAATAAAAATATGTATAAAAACATTTTTTAAAACAGTTAAATAAATAAATAAATCTTTATTGATGGAGCACTTTTAAAAATAAGGTTTACAAAGTTGTGCACGAGCAGCAAAGAAGAATAAAAATGACAAAATCAGACAATGAAGTAATCAGTTCAATTAAATATAATAAATACAGTAAGTTTAAATAAAAATGTGATCTTTGTGTAAATAAAGACCCTGAGGTACTTGAACTCCTCCACTTGAGGCAGGGACTCTCCACCCGCCCAGAGACGACAAGACGCCTTTGTCCGGTCGAGAACCACGGCCTCAGACTTAGAAGAGCTGATCTTCATCCCAGTCACTTCACACTCGGGTCAAACCGCCCCAGTGCTGCAGGTCCTGGTTCGATGAAGCCAACAGGACAACATCATCTGCAAACAGCAGAGATGAGATCCTGTGGTCCCCGAACCAGACCCTCCGGCCCCTGACTGCACCTAGAAACTCTGTCCATAAACACAATGAACAGAACAGGTGACAGGTGCAGCCCTGGGGGAGTCCAACATGCACCGGGAACAGGTCTGACTTACTGCCGCCAACGAACACAGCTCCTGCTCCGGTCGTACAGGGACCGGACAGCCCTTAGCAAAGGTCTCTCGATTTACCGGTCAGTCTTCGTTCCTCCTCTCACCTCTGGTCATGACTCTGGGTAGTGACCGAAAGGACGAGATCGCAGATACAAGCGCTTGAAATGAGTTTCCTCCGCAGGGTGTCTGGGCGTCTCCCTTAGAGACAGAGTGAGGAGCTCAGTCACACGGAGGAGCTCGGAGTAGAGCCGCTGCTCCTCCACGTCGAGAGGAGCAGTTGAGGCTCGGGCATCTGTTCTGATGCCTCCTGGACGTCTCCCTCAGGAGGTGTTCCGGGCATGTCCCACCGGGAGGAGGCCCCGGGGAAGACCCAGGACACACTGGAGGGACTATGTCTCTGGACTGGCCTGGGAACACCTCGGGGTCCCCCCGGAGGAGCTGGAGGACGTGTCTGGGGTGAAGGAAGTCTGGGAGTCCCTGCTTAGGCTGCTGCCCCTGTGACCGACCCCGGATAAGCGGACGAAAATGGATGGATGGATTTGTAAATAAAACGATGTTGCAAACTTTATGAAATTCTCTGAGCGAATCTTACTCTCTCTCCCTCCCTCTGTCCCTCTTTCTCTCCACCTCCCTCTCTTCACTCTCTCCTGCACTCTATTCCCACTTTCTCTCTCTCTCCCACTCCCTCTCTTCACCCTCCTTCCTCCTTTTTCTCTCTCACTGTCTCTCTATATCTCTTTCTCACTCTTCTTTTCTCTCCACCTCCCTCTCTCTTACACTCTCCCTCTCTCAATCCCCTTTTTCTTGTTCCCTTTCTTTCTCTCCCACTCCCTCTCTTCTCCCTCCTCCCCTCTACTTCTCCCTCCCTCCCTCTCTCTCTCCCTCCTCCTCTGTCTTTCTCTCACACTCCCCGCTCTTCTCCCTCCTTCCTCCCTTCTCTCTCTCTCTCTCTGTCTCTTTCTCACTCTTCCTTTCTCTCCACCTCCCTCTCTCTTGCACTCTTCTCCCTCTCAATCCCCTCTTTCTTGTTCTCTCTCTCTCCCACTCCCCCTCCTCCTCTTTCACTCCCTCCCTCCCTCCCTCTCTCTCTCTCTCTCTTTCTCTCCGTCTGTAGGAGTGGTCAGTGAGCTGCCGCGCTGGTGCCTGGACATTCTCTCCTGCGCTCTGGACTTAGAACCATCTCCTCGTGGACAGACACACGTCCCCCGTCACACACGTCCCCCGTCACACACGTCCCTCACCGTTCCTCCGCGTCCATCATGTCCTTCCCCAGATCCTCGCCAATCCTGCTGCTTCTCTCCGTCTTCTTCGCCGCCGTCGCCTCCTCGGACGAAAATCCAGGTACGCTCCTCTCCTCCTCCTCTTTCTCTTTCTCTTCTGAGTGTGTGTGAAAGTGTGTGTGTGTGTGAAAGTGTGTGTGCGAGTGTGTGTGTGTGTGTGTGTGTGTGTGTGTGTGTGGCTGCGCTGGAGGAAAACCGAGAGGATTTCTGTCATGTCTGTGGTCCGGGGACTTTGCGGTTTGTTCTGGAGCTGGCTGCGCTTTCTAGGAAAAACTCTTGCACAAGGCACCGGGAACTCGGAGCGTCGCAATGTGTTCTCAATCACTCTCTCCCTCTCTCCCTCCTCCGCGCTCCTCTGCACGCTCGCACGCTCACACGCTCGCACGCAGACGGGGGGCTTTATTATCGAAGTAAAAGTACTCTTACTCGAGTAAATGTCGTGAGTAAGAGACAGAAGTTTTATGGGACGATATGAAACGATCTGAGATTTTGATCTGATTTTGTTTGTCTCGTTTTCCCTTTCTCCTACTTTTGCCTTTCCTGGTTCAGTCCTGGTTTAGTTCTAGTTTAGACTGGTTTAGTCCTGGTTCAGTTCTAGTTTAGACCTGGTTTAGGTTTGGTTTAGTCTGGTTTACCTGGTTTTAGACCTGGTTAGTGCTGGTTCAGTCCTGGTTTAGTTTGGTTTAGTCCTGTTTAGTCCTGGTTTAGACCTGTTAGTCCTGTTTTAGTTGGTTTTAGTCCTGGTTTACCTGGTTTAGTCTGGTTTACCTGGTTAGTCCTGGTTTAGACTTGGTTTAGACCTGGTTTAGTCCTGGTTAGTCCTGGTTTAGTCCTGGTTGAGTCCTGGTTTTCTGGTTTAGTCTGTCCTGTTTAGTCCTGGTTTAGTCTGGTTCCTGGTTTAGTGGTTTAGTCCTGGTTTAGACCTGTTAGTCCTGGTTTAGAGAACCTGGTTTAAGTCCTGGTTTAGTCCTGGTTAGTTTAGACCTGGTTTACCTGTTTAGTCCTGGTTTAGACCTGGTTTAGACCTGGTTTAGTAGTCTGTTTAGTCCTGGTTTAGACCTGGTTTAGACCTGGTTTAGACCTGGTTTAGTCCTGTTTAGTCCTGGTTTAGTTTCCTGGTTTAGACCTGGTTTAGACCTGGTTTAGACCTGGTTTAGTCCTGTTTTCCTGGTTAAGTCCTGGTTTAGACCTGGTTTAGACCTGGTTTAGACCTGTTTTAGTCCTGGTTTAGACCTGGTTTAGACCTGGTTTGGTTAAGTCCTGGTTAAGTTGGTTTAGACCTGGTTTAGACCTGTTTAGACCTGGTTTAGACCTGGTTCAGTTGTTTAGTCCTGTTTAGACCTTTAGTCCTGTTTTAGTCCTGTTTTAGTCCTGGTTTAGTCCTGGTTTAGTCCTGGTTCTGGTCTGTGAAGTGATGTTGTATTTTGTGATTTCGTGTTCGTACTGGTGAAAGTGAAATCGTAAATTTTCATTTGGTGATTTTAATTCTTGACGTCGTAACTTTTCAATTCATTTTCTGATAAAAAACACACAACATATCGAGAGTTTACACAGATTTATTTTATGCTCAGCTACAGACAAATACGCTCAGATTTTTCTCCTACGCACATGAATATTTCTGAACACTTTCATTCTCCGTCATTTTCTTCTTTTGTCTCACGTTTGTACAGTTAATGTTTTGTCCTTCACCCGAGATTTACTCCTGCAGTTTCTCTGTCTTGAGTAATTTCTTGGACCAATATTTTGTATTTCTAATATTATTTTAAAGCAGAGGTGGAACCAAGTCGTTGTTTTACAAGTCTCGAGTCACTGGTCCTTTAAGTCTAAGTCAAGTCAAGTCAAGTCAAGTCAAGTCCAAGTCAAGTCCAAGTCAAGTCCAAGTCGTCTGCTCTGAGCTTCGAGTCATTTCAAGTCCAAAATACCAAATACAACTGAGATTTTTGCAATTTAAATGAATGAAACTAAATTGTTCTTAAAACATCAGGGTATATTTATGAGTATTTATATAAGAGCTGTAGAAATACACATTTTGTTCCTATTTAAGCGTCTTGAGACGTTCTTTATGTGAATCATTACATCAGAACAGAAAGAATTCAGATTTAACCCTCAGTCTCTCCTCGGAGTCACATTGACCAGAAGAAATTATTATTTTTAGACGAGAAAATACATTTTTTGGTCTAATTGACCTGAAACAAGAGAGCGGGAGGGGAAAAAATTAATAATTGTTATTTTGTCGTGTATTTCTCTGTAGTTCCCTCTGTTTTACTGTGTTGTACTGTGTATTACTGCAGTACATTTGAGAATACCACATCACAGTACTTCAGTTACTGTTGCCATAGTAACAGAGAAGTGGGTGGGACATGTTCCAGTTTGTTCCTTTAAAATTAATCACTGCATTTATGATCTGAAAAGAGAAAAGTATTTAAAAAAATTTTTTTAGTCACGGGCCTCAAGTCCAAGTCGAGTCCCAAGTCCTAGACCTTCAAGTCGAGTCCCAAGTCGAGTCCCAAGTCCTAGACTTTCAAGTCAAGTCCTGAGTCCTAGACCTTCAAGTCGAGTCCCAAGTCCTAGACCTTCAAGTCGAGTCCTGAGTCCTAGACCTTCAAGTCGAGTCCCGAGTCCTAGACCTTCAAGTCGAGTCCCGAGTCCCAAGTCCTAGACCTTCAAGTCGAGTCCCGAGTCCCAAGTCCTAGACCTTCAAGTCGAGTCCCAAGTCCCAAGTGCTAGACCTTCAAGTCGAGTCCCGAGTCCTAGACCTTCAAGTCGAGTCCCGAGTCCTAGACCTTCAAGTCGAGTCCCGAGTCCTAGACCTTCAAGTCGAGTCCCGAGTCCTAGACCTTCAAGTCGAGTCCCGAGTCCTAGTCCATTTTATCAAGTCAAGTCTCAAGTCCTAAAAACAGTGCCTCAGGTCTGATGACGTACTTCTGACAGTCGAGTCGCGTCTGTGGATTCGTGTTCACACTGAAGAAAGTTTAATCGTAAATTTTCCTTTTCATAAACCAAAAAAGTATCAAACATAGTTGAGATCAGGTTTGGGCAAACTTCAAGTCGAGTCCCAGGTCTCAGTCCATTTTATCAAGTCAAGTCTCGAGTCCTTAAAATAGTGCCTCAAGTCTGACCCGAGTCCAAGTCTCGACTCACAGGTCCCACCTCTGTGTTTTGAAGTGACGTTACTTTTACTTGAGAATTATTTTTAGCCGCTCCGTCTGCCAAAACAACAAACGTGTTGAGACGCGTCGTTGGATTTTATTTACGCTCCGCTCTGTAGCTCTGGGACACGTTTGACTTTTACTAACAAAAATATCGGCTTTATGGTTATTTTGACTCAGTATTTATTTCGTTTTAGTCGGCACTGACAACAGATATTTTAGTTATTCGGTATTTTGACCGAACACCAAACTTGTACCAGTGCTTTTTACTTCCGTTATGTTTAGGACGAACAGAATTTCCAAATCAAAAACTGGGACGCTCTCGATTTTGGGTGGTAATAATGAAAATTGTAAATCGAGTGCGGAATTAAGGAGAATAGTTCTGAGCTCGACCCATTCACGACGAACATGAGTCAGTTAAAGGTTGTACAGAAGATTTTCCAAGGAAAGAGAAATGCAGCGACTGTCCATTTTCAAATGTCACACTTCGCTCCTCTTCCCCTTCTCTTCTTCTTTCAGCGACATCAAAAACAGACTTTCTTTTGTAGCGAACTGGTCGTGAATTCTTGTCTGCCATTGCGACAAACTTTGTGCTAAACTTTGTGTGAGACGAAGCTACAGTTCGAAAAAGACGCTAAGAACCGCTGTGTTGGTTGAGTAAACGGCATCAGTGCGTGAGAGGCGAACGTAAACCACGTAATCCCAGCGCTCTGGCAAGTCAGTGACGCTAGAAACATAGGGAGTTTGACTGACAACCCAACAGCCAATAGATAAGAGAGGTAGCCTTTTTATCTATTGGCTGATGTTTGTCTGCCCTCACCACGTCCACAGTTGATGGATTTTCATTCTTTTTTTTTTTTTTTTGGTCATCATAATTACAAGGCAGCTGCATCTCTATAATTTTATTTTGAACTTTCATCGACAATTTGAAAAAAAATAAAAAAAAAAAAATCCTCCATACAACCTTTAAGTCACATTTTCTTTGTGTTTTGGTCGTTTTTAAGCAGCTTTTCTGTGTTTTACCCAAATAAATGTCAATGTTTTTCTCTCTTTAAAGTTGGCAAGTGTAGAACTGGTCCAAAATAGGGACACCTGGGACATTTCTTGTACAGATTTCTTGGACAAATCAGTGGTTTTGTATAAATCTGCAGGGACGGGGGGACACAGGCTCAAAACTGTGACTGTCCCGGGTCGACAGGGACGTCCGGTTAATACAAGTTTTAAAGGTAATTTTGTTATAGAGACTTAATAATCCATTTATTGTTTTGGTTGTGCTTGGTTCAGCAGTGGTTTATTCAAGTGCATCAGGTGTGAGTCAGACACATTAGGCTCTTCTTATGTGAACAAGTCTGTTTTATTTAGGCCTGTTGTTTTTGTTTGTCTTACAGTTCCTGTGTTAAATGTTTTTTAGAAAGTAAAGTTTGTTGATCTTTGAAAGGTGTGTTTGCATTTTTATTCCATGGTCATTATACAAGTTGAAATCGGTCTCAAAATTTTAATATTATCGTTTATAGCAATAATTTCTTGAATTAATTGTCCATCAAAATCTGTTATTGTTACAGGCCTCGTCTTGTAGGGACGGCTGATGCGTCAAAAAAATTTACTGCAATTTTTTTGGAACCAAATTATGATTTTGAGATGATTAAAGGAGCAGGTATTTTACTTGTTTTATAAGTTTCACTTAAATTTTTGATTTTTGAGTTCAGTCCCCATTCAGAGTGTTATTACCGTATTTTCTGCAGTATAAGGCGCTCTGGATTATAAGTCATTAAATGGTCTATTTTCAAACTTTTTTCACAAATAAACCTTGTGGGACTTTAAAGGAAACCCAACAGTGTGATGGGTGAGTGGTTTTGTTTGTTTGTTCGTTCACAGTGACTCTGGGCTTTGTTCAGTTGTGGCGTGTAGGGAG